TGATCCTAGACAAAATGGGAATGGATAGCGTTCGACTAAAGATGATCAAAGAAATCTGCGACACATGTCGGGAATGTTGAGCATGGGGGCGCCCGGGTAACTCTACGCTACCTTCCGTAAGCCTTCCTGGGAATTGGCTTGACGAAGGCGAAGTAGATCTCATGTTCTACAAGAAACGGACCATATTTCACATTATGGACCGATGTATTCGCCTGGCAACAGGCCAAGACATTCCCGATAGAGAACGTGACACCATACTCGACGCTTACCACTACTGCTGGATCGCCTATCATGGACCCTACAAAGTCTTGTATTCAGATGGAGAAGGTGCCCTCAATAATGAAACTGCCAAGGCCATGATGGCGAACAATGGTACGACACGTCGTATCCGAGCGCCTGGCCAGCACGCGACCTCGATCGAGTCGCGCAATGGCATTCTTAGGGGCACTTTCCACGTGATTGAGGAAGAGCTGAACAGACACAACATCCCCATTGTGTTTACTAGAGTATCGGCCGAAGGCACCTTCGTCACCAACGCTTTCACGTTTTACAACGGAGCATCGCCGTACCAAGCACACACTGGGCGACAGCCCTCCTTTCTCACTGACCTCGACACCCTTGACTTCCCCAGGGGGCCCGAGACGTCAGGCCACGAACGCGAACACCGTGTGAGGGAAGTTAGCCTGGAAGCAATATTTCAAGCCACGGCGGTAGCAAAGACGAATCGTGCTCTCAGGGCTAAGACGGCCCCAGATGGTGCTCGCCTATACTCAGCCGGGGACTTGGTCGATTATCACCGACCCACGGCCACCATGGAGGCTGGAATGGCCCGTTTCCTGTGATTCGTAACGTGCCCGAACGAGGACACGTCGTCGTCAAGGCGGGATCGCGTGAGGTAATTGTAATGTATCCTGATGCTCGCCACACGCTATACATTGAATGCCTTCTGACCAGGGAACTTGGCATGGGCAACATGGCCATGCAAACCGTCCTTACATATGTGGCACACCTTGGTGCAGGGAAACCTGCCAAAGTCTTTGGCTATATTCCAGACTACAAGGGGAACCTCAATCTTTCCGACGACAGCAAGTTTCACCCGCGCGTGCACCTTGCACTGCAGTATCTCGTGCGAAGCTATTTCCGAGTTGAACGTGTAGTAGCCGTGAGGTTAGCCAAGAGCGTGTTCAATCTACCTGCAGTAAAGTACGCCACCGGGTCTACACTCATCCACTACGACAACGATGTTAACCCAGCCTTCCACTATTACGAGTGTGTAGGCACTGGGCTGAACATCTCTCAAATCACTGGTAGCACTCACTCCAGACTCATCCAGTGCCTGACGTCACAAGTTCCTTCCCTAGGATTTCATGACGACCTTGCCAAGTATCAACACTTGGGCACACCGTCTGGAGAACACGACCAGCCTGGCGACAGGCCTCCTCCAGACACCCCAGGTGTTTCATCACCAAGTGAAGGTCGCCTGTCTACAATCTACGAAGAAAGCGAGGAACACGACGTTGAGGCTATGATGATGGAGGAGTGGTGCGATGAGTTACGTATGGACCTTCATCCCACAACGGTTATCGACGACTATCTCTACTGCGTCCCAACAACCATGCTGCCCGACCAATGCGTCTTGGTCTCAGCATCTGTGGACGAGGAAGATACCGTAGTGTCGGAGCTGCTCGAAGACGAGCCTGAACTACGAGAGCCCTGTCTTGTCTCTTTATGCTCGACTACACCTGACGAGGGCCATTCTCTTGACAGTGATGGGCACGTTCCCTATGTTGAGCTATGTTTCACACCAGAAATGTCAAATATCGTGTTGGACCAGACCCAACTTGCACAGCTCGAACCAGACATGGTCGCAACGATGAGAGTACATGTATCATCGGCTGCTAAACGTGCAATGGCAGGCAAGGAAGACGACCTACTCACCAAAGCCGACAGAGCAGCACATCCTAAAGAGATTAGTGAAGCCTTCTACACCGAACTCAAGATCTGGCTGGACAACCGATGTTTTTAGATGCATGATCTATCAAAAGCTCCCAGCATCATGACATCCAGATATGTATACAAGTGGAAGTTTGTGAAAAGTAGACACCGAGCATGTTAACACTACCCGTCTTAGATTTGTCTTCCGCGGATTCATGAGCACGTAGGCTTTCGATGCAGAAACCCTCTCAGGAATTGCCCGCAGACAGTCGCAGAGGATTCTGGCAAGTGAGGCGGCATGTCATCCATAATGGATCTTAGCATCTATGGACATCGACAAAGCGTTCCTCAAAGGACTGACATATGAGGAACTTGCTCGCGCCACTTGCGAGGGGACTCGCATGGTTTGCTTCGCCCTTCCACCAGGAAGTGCCCAGGTGCTTCGCGCACTACCAGGCTTCTCTTCTTACGATGAAAAGCCGACACTGCCTCAGGTGCCTCAAGCCAGGAACGGGTGCAAAGGACGCCCCAAGAGCGTTCTCCCGCAAGCTTCGCACGACTACACGGGCTATAGGCCTTACACCGACAAGTTACGATCCTGAGTTTGAATTCGGTCAGGATCTGTTAACGGCAAAACATGTCGACGACATCAATATGACAGGCCTAGAGAAAACGTAGATGGCTATGTACAACGCGTCGAAAAAGGTGTTTGGTAAATGTATGCGCAACAAACATTATTACACGACTTGCGCCGTTCGCTACACGAGGAACGAACAGGGGTATGTGATCATGGACCAGGACGAGTATATTAAACAACTACGTCCTATCACACATCCTGAGCTCACGGGAGCATCGGCAGACGCCAAAGCTACCACACTCATCGCCGACATGTTGGTTAGCCTGCGAGGAGCTCTCGCCTATGCCCTTCTTACTCAAGTCTGGCTCATGGTGTATGTGGTCTCTCTCCAGAAGATCCAAGAGCCCACCAACTTACAAGTCATGCGACTGAATGCTGTGACGCGAAAGCTGGTCAGCAGCCCGAAACGCATCACCTTCCCTCGGATGAAACCGACGAATGAAGTAGACATACATAGTGGTTCGGGGTATCGGAAATTTACCGGGGAGGAGGGCGATGAAACCACGGGCTACGGTATTCGTGGGGCTAACGTATTACGGCGAGGAAACTCGCCCCAAGGCAAATCCGTTGTTCACCTTTGCGACGGACTATGCAAGTCACACCGACTGCAGGTGAGGTCCAGCTATGCCGCTGAGGCACTTGCAGCTGCGCATGATCTTGATGAGTGCTATCCCACGCTCATCGCTCTCCACGAGCTCAAGACTGGAGCACTTACCCCGCGACAACTACGAGATATGCGTGAAGTTGGAGGCCTAGCTATCAAAGTATCCCTTACTATAGACGCTGAGTCTGTATACACATCGTTATCCAGCAAAGACCTTCAGATACCGACAAAACGTACTTTGCTGGGACATATCAGCTGGATACGTGAGCTCATGGATATAGGTATAGTGCATAACGTACAGTGGTGTGACACTAGAGACATGACCGCAGACGGGCATGCAACGGGGAGTATCGATCGGGAGCTGCTTTTGGAAGTGATGTCAGGCACTCAGTCATTTAAGTATGACGTGAAGCAGTTTGTTCCCTTTCGGGGCCCCGAGGACAAAACCAAACCTATGTCGAATCAATTTTGGTCTGTCCTTGTTGCCCCTGCGGTCCAGTTTGCCAGCGCGGGCGCCTAATGCAGAGGCGCCCTTTTACTTGCTCGGAAACGAGCCATATTTTCACGCTTGGCAACGAGCCTGTTCAGATTGGTTCAGGCTCTTTGCCTTAATAGCCTTCTGCCCGGAGGGGAATCGCCTGTTTGGTTTACCTCTAGCCGGGCCGATAGCCCTCGTTTATTCAAGGGGCTATCTTACGTGTGCGTGGACAAGTTTTGCGAGGAAATTCGCAGGCGAAAAATCTCGCCCCTCAGTCTGGTGGTTGACCAGACTGCGCGTGCTGTTTTCCTTGCAAACAATTGCGCGCGCGGCCTTTCCAGAGTCTAGCGACTGCGCGGCTTTGCATTCCGTCCCCTCCCCTCCCGACTTTAAGGGTGGCTTTTTGGGAGATGTTATAGAGGATCGGGAGTATAGCCTGCGCGTCGCTGCCTTATGGCTCAAGGTACGCGCGCCCTATTTGCCCGGACACTGACCTTAGTGTTCGCTATGTGTTGGAAAGATCACTACATCGATCTTATCCTATCTTACCCATCCACACCCCATATCGTATTCCTTCGACATGGAATTTGATGTTGTATGACCTGCCAGAGTCATTTCAGACTCACTACTCGCAAAGGTATCAACTCGCAAACGTCAGGAAAAAATGTGTGTCCTCGATGTATTGGATCGTAAATCCCTCGCAGCGGATCCGGGGCATTTGCGAGCGGTTTCTTTGCGAGTCGTGGAACGCGCTTGTCCAGAACTCGTTGGTGGGCGGGGGTAGGGTTCGCACGCGTGGCCACCTATACAACCTGGGGGGGGGGCCTTCGACGCCGCGCCGACGGCGTGCGGCGTGCGGCGTCGGGCCGTGGCCAGGAAGGGGAAACCTTGGCTCCGCGGAGGGTGCCGTTTCGAGGCGCTGGGTGGTGCCAGGGCCCGATGTGGAGGAGGCTCGCACGGGGCGCGTTTTGCCGAGGAGGGCTCGGGCGGAGTGGTGGACCCAGCTGGGCCTCGTTGGCAGACTTCGACTGCGCGTAAGGAGTGGCCCTTCGCTGGGGTGGCCTTCATAAATGCAGGGCCGCCTGCGATCCGATTCGATGCGATTCGATTCGCTGGCTGGGGCCGCGATTTCGGTTCGAGTCGAGTTGGCTCGGCTCGCTGGCATCGGCCAGGGCCAACTGGAGCCAGGCTCGGCGATCTGATTTCGATTCGATTCGGAACGATTCGCTGTCGATGCGATCCGTTTCAGTTCCGATCGGATCTCGCGGTTCGATTCGGCTCAGTCGTGCCTTGGGCGCGGGCTCACTGGAGTCCCCCGATCGCTGAGCGCGAGGCGGCAGTGGCGTCTTGCGCGCACGGGCTCGCCAACCCCCCCCCGCGGCCACCAAAAGCCGCGCACCACGAGGTCGCTCCTTTCCCAGGGTCGCTCTTGCGTGTAGTCAGACAGAGCAGCTTCCGAAGCCGGTTTTGGTTCAAGGCAGTTGGCGCTCGAGGCGTCCTGGCGCGCAGCGTATAATCAGCTCTGGGTGTCGCCGGCTGTGCGCCGGGCCAGACGGCTGCGCGCCCTCCGCGCGTGCCAGCACGCGCGGAAGCGTGCACCGCACTGGCCCGCTGCGCGGTCGGCGTCGTCCAACCAGTCGGCACGAGTCGAAGAAGAAAAAACGACACAAACATAATTTTTTGGCGCTTCGCGCAGATTTCTTGGATCTGCGCTGGGCCCCTCCGGCGGCGCCTCCGGCGCCGCCCCTGGCGCGCTCCGCGCGCCGGGGAGGGAGGTCCAGCGCAGATCCAGGAAGTCCTCGCGGAGCGCCCGAAGCTTTTATGTGCATGGCGTCCTCTCTTTTTCGAGCGAGAGATGGCGGCACCAAGGCGTACCTCCTGCCTCCTCAGCGCCGCGCTGCTCAGCGCCGGCCTCCTGCTGGCCCTGCAGGGCAGCACGGCCTTCGTGCCGGCCGCCGCGCGCGGCGGCCCCTCGGCCGAGGCAGTGGCCCTCGGCCTGACCGCGCCCGCGCTGCTGGGCGCGTCGGCCGCGGTCGCCGGGGAGCCGCCCAGCGTCGGGGACCACTGGTACTGGGACCTCGGCTCTCGGGTGACGAGAACTACCCTGAGCTCCCGGCGGCCTCCTTCTGTCGAGCCAGGCGTTGTCGCTCGACTTCGAGCCCCGGGGCCCGCGCAGCTCGATCCGGTTCGAGAGATGACGCCAGAAGCTGGGGTCCGGGGTTCCTGTCGTTTTTTTTTGTTTTTTGTTGTTTGTTTTTTTGTGTTGTTTTTTTTCTTCCCCCCCCAATCAGAGCTTGCCTCTGTAGGGGTCTTAGCGGATTAAAGGATTAGGTGAGAGGTGCGGCCGATTTCGGTGGCCGGGCCCGGGTTCCCGGGGGTGCCCGGGTGCCCGGGTGGCCGGTGAGGTGCGTGGCCGATTTCGGTGGCTGGGCCCGGGTGCCCGGGTGCCCCGGTGCCCGGGGTGCCCAATAGCCCAATAGCATATAGCCCAATAGCCCAATAGCCCTATAGCCCTATAGCCCAATAGCCCTATAGCCCCATAGCCCTATAGCCCTATAGCCCTATAGCCCTATAGCCCAATAGCCCAATAGCCCAATAGCCCAATAACCCTATAGCCCTATAGCCCGATAGCCCCATAGCCTTCTAGCCCTATAGCCCTATAGCTCTACAGCCTTATAGCCCTATAGCCTTACAGCCCAATAGCCCAATAGCCCAATAGCCCTATAGCCCTATAGCCCTATAGCCTCATAACCTTATGGCTTTATAGCCCTACAGCCCCATAGCCCCCCCAAAAAATGGATTGGGGTTTTTCTCCGGTCTCATCCTTTTTTTTGCGATGGCGCATTTTTTTTGCAACGTCGGATCTCAGGGTATGCACATGCACCGATCTTGGCGAGGCCCCTCCTGGGCCCAGGATCGGTGCCCGTGTCTCCCTGCCGAGGGCGCATGCACCGATCCTGGGCGCAGGGTGGGCCAGGCCAGGATCGGTGCATGTGCACAGCTCTCTTGCCGCTACGCTTAAGTCGGGCCTGTCCCTCTACAGGGGGGATATCCAAGAATAGTAGCAAAATGGTCTGGGGACTGTTTTTTTTTTTTTTTTTTTGTTGTTTGTTTTTTTTGTTTTTAGTATTTTTCGACCATTTGGGAGTATTTTTGGGGTATTTTTTTATGTTTCGTCGAAAATCCCCCTGTAGGGGGACGCGCCCGACTCAACTCTAGGCTTCGGCTCCCTCCACGGCGAGACCGCGTCCATCATCCTGCTGGTCTTCTTCCTCTACCTCGGCTTTGCGCTCATCGGCGCCGGCGGCTCGTCCAGGAAGGCCGCGTGAGCCGCGACGGACCGGCTTCTACGGTCTCGCGGCGTGAGGTCCCCCCTCCTCCGCGGCGGGAGGGGGCGCGGCCGGCCAGCCAAATGGCGACGCTTTTGTGTGCGCCATGAGTTTAGCAAGAAAAGACCCGCCGTCCAGACCTGATGGCGACTCGAGAAAATCACGCCCGGACTTGTTCGCCCAGAGGGCCGTTTCCGGGCTCCAGGACAGTCAAACAACGTCTCGGGATGAAAGGTTGACCAGGGGGGTCGGGATTTTTTTTGTGGAACAAACACGACGTCGGAGGTGTAGGGAGTCATAAGGTTAATGTGACCTTCGCCGATGCTCTCATATGTCCGAGATGGTGGTTGGCCAGTGCTGGCGTGGATGGGGTCAGACGTAGGGAGTAGTAGCAGACGACAGAAGGACTTCAAGGGAGAGTATGAGTAGGATGATGATGGGAACGAGGATGAGGATGAGGATGAGAACGAGGATGAGGGTGAGGAGGATGCTTATGATGAGGATGGTGATGCTGATGACAATGATGATGCTGCTGATGCTGATGATGGTGATGATGATGCTGATGCTGATAACGATGCTGATAACGATGCTGGTGGTGGTCATGATGCCGCTGATGATGACGATGACGATGATGATGATGATGATGATGATGATGATGATGATGATGATGATGATGATGATGATGATGATGCAGATGATGCAGATGATGATGTTGATGCCGATTGTGAGGATAATGATCATAATGATGTTGCGCATGATCATACTTCGGATGATGCTGATGCTGATGATAATGGTGATGGTGCTCAGGACGAGGATGCTGCTGCTGATGTTGCTGATCATGATGCTGCTGCTGATGATGATGAGGATGATGACGATGATGATGATGATGATGATGATGATGATGATGCGGATGCTGATGCGGATGCTGATGCTGATGATGATCCTTGTGATGATGATGACGATGACGATGCTGCTGCTGATGATGATGATGATGCTGCTGCTGATGATGATGATGATGATGATGGTGGTGGTTGGGGTGGTTGGTGGTGGTGATGATGATGACGAGGATAAGGATTTGCTGATGATGATGATGGGGATGATGAGGATGCTGATGATGATGCTGATGATGACGATGATGACGATGATAATGACGACGATGCTGATGCTGCTGATGATGACGATGTTGATGATGATGAGGATGAGGATGAGGATGATGATACAAAGGATACTGATGAGGATGAGGATGCTGCTTCTGCTGATGATGATGAATTGTGATGATGATGATGATGATGATGGTGATGCTGATGATGATGATGCGGATGAGGATGAGGATGATGAGGATGATGATACGAATGAGGGTGAAGATGCTGATGCTGATGCTGATGCTGATGCTGATGATGATGATGTTGACGCTGGATCTGATGATGATGGTGATGCTGATGCTGATGATGCTCATACTGATGATGATGATGATGATGATGATGATGATGATGATGATGATGATTATGATGATGGTGAGGATTAGGATGATGATGATGATGACGACGAGGATGATGATGGTGATGATGATCAGGCTGCTGATGATGAGGATGATGATGAGGAGGAGGGTGAGGAGGGTGCGGATGATTATGAGGATCCGGATGCTGATGATGATGATGTTGATGATGCTGATTCAAATGCTGATGCTGGTGCTCATGCTGATAGTGATGCTTATCGTGGTGCTCATGGTGCTGATGATGCTGATGATGCTGGTGAGGGTGATTCTGATTATGCTGATGATGCTGGTGATGCTGATTATGTTCATGATCATGCTGCTGCTGATCTTGATGCTGATTATGCTGATGATGCTGATGATGGTGATGCTGATGATGAAGCTGATGATGCTGATGATGATGCGAATGCTGCTTATGCTGATGATGGTGATGATGCTGATGCTGATGCTGGTGCTGATGCTGATGATGCTGACGATGCTGCTGATGATGATGATGATGATGGTGCGGGTGAGGATGAGGATGCGGATGATGATACTGATGATGATGCTGATGATGCTGATCATGATGATGATGAGGATGAGGATCATGATGCTGATGCTGTTGTTGATCATGATGATGATGATGATGATGATGATGATGATGATGATGGTAATGCTGATGCGGATGTTGATGCTGATGATGATGATGAGGATGAGGATGCCGATGCTGGTGATGATGATGATGGTCTGATCATGCTGCTGATGATGCTGATTATGTTGATGATTAGAATGATGATGCGGATGAGGATGAGGATGATGATGCTGATGATGATTATGATGAGGATGCTGATGATGCTGATGATGCTGATGATGATGATGATGATGCTGCCGCTGATGCTGATGATGATAAAGCTGCTGATTACGATGATACTTTTGACGATGATGATGCTGATGATGATGATGATGAGGATGCTGATGCTGATGCTGGTGCTGATGCTGATGATGATGCTAACGATGATGATGATGATGATGATGATGATGATGATGATGATGATGATGATGATGATGATGATGATGATGAGGATTATGGTGCTACTAATGCTGCTGATGCTTGATTCCGGTGATGATGATGATGATCATGAGGATGAACATGATGCTGCTGATGATGACGTTGCTGATGATGCTGCTGATGATGCTGCTGCTGATGATGCTGATGATGATGATGATACTGCTGCTGATGATGATGCTGATGATGAGCATGATGATGAGGCTGATGATGAGCATGATGATGAGGATGATGATGGTGAGGCTGCGGATGAGGATGATGATGCTGATGAGGGTGAGGATGATCAGTATGCTAAGGATGATGCTGACGCTGATGATGCTGATGATGATGAGGATGTGCATGAGGAGGAGCATGCGGATGATGATCATTATGGTGGTGATGATGTTGATGATGCTGATTATGATGATGAGGTTTATGATGCTGATGATGATGGTGAGGACGAGGAGCCAGGATGTCGATTCTGATGCTGATGATGATGCTGTTGATGATGATGCTGCTGCTGATGATAATGATGCGGATGAGGATGAGGATGGTGATGATGATGAGGATGAGGATGCCGATGATGATGATGATGATGCTGATGATGATGATGATGCTGGTGACGAAGATGATGATGATGATGATGCTGATGCTGATGATGATGCTGATGATGACGCTGATGATGCTGATGGTCATTCTGATACTGACGCTCATGATGATGCTGATGATGATGCTGATGATGAGGATGCTGATGATGCTGATGCTAAGGGTACTGATGCTAATGGTGATGATGACGATGATGATGATGCTGATGATGATATGTATTAGGATGCGGATGATGCTACTGCTTCTGATGATGATGCTGATGATGATGCTGATGCTGATGCTGATGCTGATGATGATGCTGCTGATAAAGCTGCTGATGCTGATGAGGGTGAGGATTTGCATGAGGGTGGGGATGAAGATGCTGATGGTGATGAGGATTATGGTAATGGTGGTGCTGATGATGCTGCTGATGATGATGAGGATGATGATGCTGATGATGATGCTGCTGATGATGATGGTGGTGATGATACTCATGTTGACGAGGATGAGGATGATGGTGATGATGATGCTGATTAGGATGATGATGATGCTGATGCTGATGGTGATGATGATGCTGATGATGATGATGCTGCTGATGATGATGAGGATGCCGTGGATGATGATGAGGATGACGACGCTGCTGATTTTGCTGATGATTTTGCTGATGCTTATGATGGTGATGTTGATGCTGGTGATGTTGATGAGGATGCTGATGCTGATGATGGGGATGATGATTTTGATGAAGATGATGATGCTGATGCTGATGATGCATAAGCGGATGAGGATGATGATGCTGGTGATGATGCTGATGATGCTGATGATGATGATGCTTATGCTGATCTTGATGGGCTTATTCTGGCAGGGCCCCTATTCCCATCAGTTGGGAAATTCGCAGATTCCAATCCTTGGGTCTTACGCAAAACAACGTATGCGGATCTTGATGATGACGATGAGGATCTGATGATGATCCTGATGCTGATGATGATAACGATAATGATGCTGATGACGATGCGGCTGATGATGATGAAGATGATGATGCTGATGCTCATGCTGGTGATGCTGGTGCTGATGATGATGCTGGTGCTGATGATGATGATGATGATGATGATGATGATGATGATGATGATAATGATTTGATGATGATACGGGTGATGCCGATGCTGATGCTGATGATGAGGATGATGCTGATGATGATAATGCTGATGCTGATGATGATTATGATGATGATGATGCTGATGATGATGATGATGATGATGATGATGCTGATGATGATGATAACGTTGATGATGTTGCTGCTGATGATGCTGCTGACGATGATGATAATGATGCAAATGCTGATGATGATGATGATGCTGATGGTGATGATGATGCTGATGCTGGTGCTGATGATGATGCTGCTGATGCTGCTGATGATGACGATGATGATGATGATGTTGCTGTTGATGATGGTGTTGCTGATGATGATGATGCTGATGATGATTATGATGACGATGATGACGATGATGTTGGTGCTGATGATGGTGCTGACGCTGATGGTGATGCTGCTTATGCTGCTGATGATGCTGATGATGGTGGTGATGATGATGCTGATGATGATGGTGATGACCATGATAATGATGTTGCTGCTGCTGCTGATGCTGATGCTGATGCTGCTGATGATGATGCTGATGGTAAGGATGCTGCTGCGTCTGTTGATGATGATGCTGATGATGAGGCTGATGATGAGCATGATGATGCTGATGATGATCAATGTGATGCTGATGATGATGCAGATGATGATAGCGCTGATAATGATGCTGCTGATGAGGATGATGATGAGGATACTTATGAGGATGATGCTGATGATGATGCTGATGATGATGCTGGTGATGATGAGGATTGTCATGCTGATGATGGGGATGATGAGGATGATGATGATGATGAGGATGAAGATGACGATAATGGTTGAGGATGATGCTGCTGCTGATGAGGATTTGATGAGGATGAGGATGAGAATCATGATGAGGATGATCATGCTGATGCTGATGCTGATGCTGCTGCTGATGATGATGCTAATG